AAAACGAGTTACTAAGGCCATGTCACAAAGTTATTAAGATTTTAACTATGTTTGAGACTCCAAGTGCTTATCTAACCCTAAGTTTTATCTTCTGTAGTAAACTTGAGATCCATCAAAATGAGTGCTAGACGTAGTTGTCGAACTAGCCGTGGACGAGGTCGAGTGGCTAGATTCGCAGATCCGATCGATGAGATACGGGTAGATCCCCTACCTCCGATAGGTGATCATGCTCCTACGACCCCAACGGATCTGCCTCCTGCCGCTGGTATTGGCATGACTACACCGATAATAGGAGCGACCGATATTGAGTCAGAGTCTACCAGAGTTGCTTTGGATGAGAATTTTGGTAGACAATTTCTGCAGTTAATACATGGAGCAGTCAGAGCTACTGGTGTTGTATCTGAGGTTCCTATTTCGCAGACTTTGATTGCCAATGGAGTTAGAACTTTGGGGGACAAATAGGTGGAGCTCCTACTGAAGCTGAGGATTGGCTCCAGGATACAGAGAGACGCATGGATCAGTTGGGTTTGGACTCAACTAAGAGATATCATGGTGCTGTGGCGATGTTAGATGGCAATGCCTACACTTGGTGGGAGTCAGTGACCAGTAGTGTTCCTACCGATCGTTTGACCTGGAATTTCTTTAAGGATCGCTTTCGGAGCCGTTTTTTGGGAGAGCGCTACTTAGCTCAGAGACGACAACAGTTTCAAGACCTGGTTCAGGGAGACATGACTGTTTCTGAATATGAGATCGAGTTCCTGAAGTTGCTGAAGTATGGATTCAGTATGGTACCTATGGAGAGAGATCGATGTCGTAAATTTGCCCTTGGACTCAGATACGAGCTGCGTAGGCAAGTTGTAACCCATCAGGATGAGATATTTGATGTGCTGGTGAGAAGAGCCAAAGATGCGGAAGAGGTGGAGGTTTTAGCTTCTGGTAGAGAGCGTGTTGATCAAGATCGATCTAAGAAATTTTCAGGCCCGATGGAGTCATCAGCACAGTCCGGGAAGAGGACTCGTACTTCAGCCCCTCAAAGAAACAATACACGTTTCAGGCCTGCAGCATCCTCACCTTTAGCTGTCAGTCGAGGCGGTTCCTCGTCGTATTATAATGGGCCCCTTTGTGAGTATTGTGGTAAACAGCACTCAGGAGAGTGTCGTAAGAAGATGGGTCTTTGCTATCAGTGTGGGTCTAGTGGTCATTATCGGAGGGATTGTCCTCAGTTAGTTTCGTTTGAGCAGACCACTACCCAAACTCTTGTGCGTTCGCAGACTACAGTACAGACCCCAATTAGAGATCGTAGTCAAGGAAAGACTCGAGGATCAGCGTCCAGGACAGACAGTAGAGCCCGACCTCAGCAAAATAGAGGGCCAACAGCTTCTGAGGCTAGACAGCCAGCTTTAGTTTATGCAACTAGACGTCGTGATGACAGAGATGAGCCTGAGGTTATTGCAGGTACATTTACTATTTATTCTACCCCATACTTTGCATTATTGAACAATGGCTCCACTCACTCCTATGTATCGAGCTCAGTATCTCGAAACCTTCAGATTCCGATCGAGAACACTGAAAATACTGTTACAGTTACAAGTTCAGTAGGACAAGCGGTATTAGTGAATAAAGTATTTAGGCGTTGTCCTCTCGAGGTTCAGGGATAAATTTTTCTCGCTGATCTTATGGAACTTCCTTTAGGGGAGTTTGATCTAATTCTTGGAATGGATTGGTTGAATAAACACAAGGTAAAGCTGGATTGCGAATACAAGCGGGCTACTCTGAAGACTTCAGATGGTCGGACTGTTGTGTTAATTGGTGAACGGCGTGGTTATCTCTCCAATATAGTTTCAGCGATGGAAATTGATCATATGATCCGGAAGGGATATGAGACCTTCATTGCTTGTATTTTGAACACCAAATGTGCATTGGCCACGATCGAGGAGATTCGTACAGTTAGCGAGTTTCCTGATGTTTTTCCGGAGGAGTTGCCTGGGTTACCTCCTGATAGAGAGGTAGAGTTCGAGATTGAGACTTATCCAGGATCTTCACCTATTTCTATGGCACCTTATCGTATGGCTCCAAAGGAACTTAAGGAGTTGAAAGTCCAATTGCAAGAATTATTCGATCGAGGATTTATCCGACATAGTACTTCACCATGGGGAGCTCCAGTTCTATTCGTGAAAAAAAAGGATGGGTCGCTAAGATTATGTATTGACTATCGGAAATTGAACAAGATGACGGACAAGAATAAATACCCATTACCCAGGATTGATGACTTGTTTGATCAATTGCGAGGAGCTACTGTATTCTCTAAGATTGATCTTCGTTCGGGGTAATATCAATTGAAAGTTAAAGGATATGATGTTGCAAAAACGGCCATTCGCACTAGATATGGTCATTATGAATTTTTAGTGATGCCTTTTGGTTTGACGAACGCTCATGCAGCTTTTATGGATTTGATGAATCGGGTGTTCCGACCATATTTGGATCAATTTGTAGTGGTCTTCATTGACGATATTCTGATCTATTCTCGTACTGAGGCAGAGCATGACGAGCATTTGAAGATCGTTCTGCGGACTTTGAGAGAACATCGTCTATATGCCAAACTAAGCAAGTGTGAGTTTTGGCTTCAAGAAGTGTCATTTCTGGGGCATATTATTTCTGCGCGAGGTGTTCAGGTTGATCCCAGCAAGATAGAGGCTATTATGAATTGGAAACGACCTAAGAACGTATCTGAAATCCGCAGTTTCTTGGGCTTGGCTGGTTATTATCGACGTTTTGTTGAGGGCTTCTCGATCATTGCTTCTCCTTTGATAAAGTTGTTAAGGAAGAATGTGCTGTTTGACTGGGGCGAGGCACAACATGAGAACTTTGAGAAATTAAAGGCGGTTTTGACTCAAGCACCGGTGTTGATTCAACCAGAGTCCGGGAAGGATTTTACAGTGTATAGTGATGCTTCACATTCAGGACTTGGTTGTGTTTTAATGCAGGAAAGTAAGGTGGTGGCTTATGCATCCCGTCAACTGCGGCCGCATGAGAGTAACTATCCTACTCATGATTTAGAGTTGGCAGCAGTAATTTTTGCCTTGAAGATTTGGAGACACTATCTTTATGGAGAGAAGTGTTATATTTTCACAGATCATAAGAGCTTAAAGTATCTTCTGACCCAGAAGGAACTTAATTTGAGACAGCGTCGCTGGTTAGAGCTCCTAAAGGATTATGATTGCGTGATTGATTACCACCCTGGTAAAGCTAACATTGTAACAGATGCTTTGAGTCGAAAGACGGTATCAGAGTTGAGGTCTTTAATGGCCAAGATGAATTTATATGACGATGGCACTTTGTTAGCAGAATTGCAAGTTAAGCCGACCTTGGTTGATGAGATCAAAGCTAAGCAGCCCCTTGATAGCTCCTTGCTTTCCATCTTTGAGCAAGTAGAGCAGGGGACACACACAGATTACGCAATTGATCAGGATGAAGTTTTATGCTTTAAAGGTAGATATTGTGTGCCTGATGATGCTGAGTTGAGGCAGACTATCCTTACTGAGGCTCATAGTAGTCCATATGCTATGCACCCCGGAGGAGATAAGATGTACCGGAATTTGAGAGAGAGGTATTATTGGATTGGTATGAAGAAAGACATATCTGACTTTGTGGTTAGGTGTTTGACTTGTCAGCAAGTTAAGGCAGAACATCAACATCCATCAGGTTTGTTACAGCCTATCAAGATTCCTGAATGGAAATGGGAGCGTATTACTATGGATTTTGTTACTGGCTTGCCGATGACTCCTTCGAAAAAAGATTCAGTTTGGCTGATTGTTGACAGACTTACAAAGTCATCTCACTTCATTTCTGTGCGAGTAAATTATACTTTGGATAAGCTGGCAAGATTGTATATTTCAGAGATTGTCAGATTGCATGGTGTTCCATTGTCTATTATTTCTGATCGAGATCCGAGATTTACTTCGAGATTTTGGAAGGCGTTACATACGGCTTTGGGAACAAGATTGGATTATAGTACATCCTTTCATCCACAAACTGATGGTCAATCTGAGAGAGTAATTCAGATTCTGGAGGATATGTTGCGGGGTTGCGTAATCGATTTTCATGGTAGTTGGGAGAACTTTTTGCCGTTGGCTGAATTTGCTTACAATAACAGTTATCAGACCAGCATTCGTATGGCACCCTATGAAGCGCTCTATGGGCGTAAATGTCGCACTCCGATCTGTTGGACTGAGTTGCGTGATAGGAAAACGTTGGGACCTGAGTTAGTGCGAGAGACGGAGGACATAGTCAGATTAATCCGTGACCGTCTGAAAGAGGCATTTGATAGGCAGAAATCTTATGCAGATCAAAGAAGGAAGGATATACAGTTTGAAATGGGAGATCGGGTCTTTTTGAAAGTTTCACCCTGGAAGAAAGTATTGAGATTCGGGCGTAAGGGTAAATTGAGTCCAAGATTTATTGGACCATTTCGTATCTTGATGAGGGTAGGACCTGTTGCATATCAGCTTGAGTTGCCTTCTGAGCTAAGTCGTATTCATGATGTCTTTCATGTATCAATGTTGAGGAGATACCGTCCAGATCCAAGTCACATTATTCAGGTTGAAGAAGTAGAGTTGAGACCTGATTTGTCATATGAAGAGGAGCCCATTCAGATCTTGGAGAGAGATGAACGAGTTCTTCGGAATAGACGAATTCCAATGGTCAAAGTTCAGTGGAGTAATCGAGGCCCCTCAGAAGCTACTTGGGAGACATTGGAGTCAATGGAGGCTCAGTTTCCTCAACTATTCTCATAAGGTAAATTTCGAGGACGAAATTTTTTGTAGAGGGGGAGAATTGTAACAACCCGATTTTCAAAATAATATTTAAATGAAATTGGAGGTAAATTGTGAAAATGGGTGAAATTAAGTGACTGAAGTATAATTTATGAAAACTTGTATGCCATTTTCAAAGTAAAGGAAATTCAGGGACCAAGCCCTGAATTTCCCCTAAAAGTGTCGGCAAGTTTGTTATAACTAACGTGTTTTCTGATTTCAATCAGAAAACACAAAAGCTTTTCTTCAATTTTCTTCCTCTCACACCTCCATTTTCAAGTCCGATCCAAACGCCGTCCGAATTCCGATCGTTGTTTTGAAACCACCGTTGTGTTCATCATCGAGCGAGGAACCAACCCTTCAAACTAATTGAAGCGAAACGCGGCCAAACGTCGGGAATTTCCAGTCAAAGTAGCGACGGTTTTTTAGCTCTATCGCCGAGGAAATCTTAAATTCACCGCTGATCGTTACTCCGTTTACGACACCTCCCGCACCATCGTGTTCCTTGTGCCGTTCCGAGTTCACCGGTGTCAACCTTGTCCGCCGTAGACGGCGGCGCGTGAGGAGGTGGTGCAGTCAAAGATTCGGCCGATTTGAAATCGAGTTCTCCGCCGTTCAAAAATTTGAACCGATCGTTGTAAGTATCTTGAAATCGCTCAAAATAATTTTTAGAAAATTTTCCGGGATTTTTAGGGCCCCGGAGGACGCCTCACGCGCCACACGCGCCGCCGCAGGGCGAGTGGCTGCTGGAAACCGGTTTAATCGGTTTACAACCGGTTCTGACCGGTTTGACCGGTTTCAACCGGTTCGAACCAGTTTGACCGGTTTGACCGGTCTGACCCGACCCGACCGTTGACACGACCCGACCCAACCGTTGACCCGACCCGATCTGACCGTTGACCGTTGACCGTTGACTTTCTTTGACCAAAACTTAGAATGGCTTTGACCAAGCATTAAACGACCGTTAATCTTTTCCGAGTATACCTATCCTGATAGTTTTCGACGTGCCGAATCCGTTTCCGTGGTCCGTTTTGTCAAATTCGAATCCGAAGGTCTCCAAATCTACGGTCAAAGTGGTTGACTTTGACTTTGACCAAGAATTTGAATTTTCGAAAAGTCATACTTTATGTTTTTCGACGCCCTGATTCCGATTCCACAATCCGTTTGGCCAAATTCAGACTCGAAATACCTCAAATTGATATTCAAACCCGAAAAATGCGTATATACTTAAGAAGTTTAGCTTTGAACAATTAAATAGGATTTGAGACTGATAAATATTATTGTTTGAAGGTACAAGAGACTCTCCGGATCGTTCGACAGCTCGACCCAACTCTTCTAGATCAGTTAAACCACGTGTTCCAGTATTCACCCGTTCGAAAACTGTAGCAGAGCGTGGTGAAACCAGCAATCAGTAGATTTGTTATTTGAATCTATTGTCGAGGTGTGTTCCCTACTTATTATTGAACTGTTTTATTGGTTTTAATATGTGGTACACCGAATTCATTGGTTATTGTTTTATGGATGCACCAATTTAATGTGACAATTTATGGAATATGGCTGATATCAAATTTTTGTTTTGAAATGGTATATGATTACCATGTTTTTGGATTTATGGAATTTATGTCACGGTGCAATTGAATTTTGGAATTGAATTACGATGGAATAGCTCTGATCAAGCTAACTGGGCCTAATGTGACTCTTGAGGGCCCCAAGATGTTTCATTAGGTCGGCTTTCCTTTGTGTGCTTAGGGTAAGCTATATGGACTTATTGACTTGGGCTTAAGGATACAAGCTTCAGAGCCTATCCTTAAGTCGGCTTTCTTTTTGCTATGTGCATAAAGTAAGCTATATGGAAAATAATTTTGGGAACTACTGATGGTGTACCAGAAAAGGGTTTAAACTATGATTTTCAAAAAGTTAAACTCTTTTACGAATTTGTGAGATTACTGGACTATGATTTGTACCTATTGTGATTTTATGGAAATGTTGGGACACACTGAGCCTAGCTCACCTTTTGAAAATGTTTCCCCCTTTCAGATACTGTTGGTTAGATACCTTGGTTCGAGCACTTGGAGGATCAACATATCTCTTGAAGTAAATCAGATTGTAATGTTCTTATATGGCAAGTTGATTTTATTTTGGTGACATGGACCTTATTTTAAAATATCGGATTTTATAATGATAACTCTTTTGCTAATACTGCTCGGTTTATTGTGATTTTGAATTTGAAGACATGTTTTAAATTAAATTATTATTTATTTGTACTATATTTACGAGTTGGATTTTGATAGTATAATTTGTTTATAATTTCATGTTATTTATAATGTGATTTTATATTGATGGAATAACGGTTGCGAAAAATGTCTTTAATAATCATAATGTGATCCACTAGACTTAGTCGAAACGCATAGGCCGGGTCTAGGGGGTTACATGACCAATTTTATCACCCTTGAACCAAAATTATTATTTCTTTGAACTAAGCCTTCACTTAAGGACCAAGTTGATAATTCTATACTCGACTTTCTTATAGATATTTTGAATCCAGAATAATTTCAAGTCTCATTTTGTGTGTTTAGGTTGAAAAACATCAAAACTTAATTTTAATAACATGAAATTTATTAAACTTTTAACTAACAAAACTTTCAGATTTTTTTTAAAATATTTTAGAACACAACTTGTACTTCTTGACTACGTATTTTGAAGCCCCAAAAAAAAAAGGAAGCTGCTTTCACACCAATAATAATCAAATCTCACCTAATTTCTTTTTCACTTAATCATTGTTGGTGGAAACTTAATATGGAATAACTAATTCATATCATCCTATAGCAAAAGTGATGTATAGTTAGGCAGTCAAATTAAACCAATGATTTAATACAAAAATATCATAGAAATATATCGCACCACACAACATAAATATAGTCATCACATGCGCGATTCTAGTAAAAAAATAGTCATTATATTGGAACATCTAATCAATAATAAGTTGGTTTAATAAGATGGGTACTAGATCCCTTACTCAAAGTTAGGATTTCGAATCCAAATTTTACATGAAATAAACTAAGTTAGGAGGATTATCCTGATAATTGCACCTATAAAAAATTCGATTTGAAATAATCGTTCAGTATATCAAATACCAGTGTTTAAAAAAACTAGAAAACCTAAAACCAGAAACCTATTCGGCATTTGCCGTCGAGGGCAAGGCCTCGCCACCATACATAGCTGCTGCAAATCGAAACAGGGTTAAGCTTGCATGGGGAAGATGCCATCAAAAACTACGTAGGAAGCAGACCGTAGTAGTAGAGATGGATTGCATAATTGAAGCGTTGGACACTATGAATCAAGTATGACTGTATTTAACAATAAGCAAAGTTGTGTCCAAATATTGCATTTTTTTACAATTTTTTGTATCTTCATGTTAAAATGACTTTTTCAAAAAGCTTGAGTGTCAAAAACGTTATTAATCCACTGATTTATGTCGGATTAGTTTGAGGATGGTGGACTTGGAGGGATCAAGATCAAAATTAGTCCAAAAGTCATTCTGTTTTAAAATATAAACGACACCTTTCATGCGTCGTTTTGGTGGAAGTAGAGCAACGCGTTTCGTGGGCAGTGGCGGTAAAGAAGAATTCTAAAAAAAACTGGAACTAAAATTTCCAGTGTTCAGTTCTAAGTTGAAGCAGTAAGGAGTAAGCTAGGGTTTTCAAAGCAAGGAGAAAACATTGAGTTGTTTTCTCATAATTATCATCAGTGATGGAGGCATCAACTTATTCTCCAGTGGGAAATATAGGGACTTTGATGAGTCTCAATGACGACACCCTCCAAGAAATCCTCCAAAGCTACGACGATTTCTGCGCTGCAGCTAAATCTCTCCTCAACGGCTCCCGTGATCTCTCCTTTGAACACGACTTCTTTTCCCACGTTCAAACTCTCTGCAAACACGGCCTCCGTAGTCTCGCTCGGGACTATTTTCTTAGGTCACTTGAGGTAATAATCGACTAAGCTAATAAGTCTCTAAAAATATCGGTTTTTATTGATTGCATTTTTTTTAATTATAGGAAACATTTGAGAAAAATGGGGCTTCGAGATTTTGGCGCCATTTTGAGAACTATAGCAAAATCGAAGAAGATTTATATAAGATTGACGAGGATGAGATTCAAACAGTGCTTTGTAATGCTCTGGAGGAGATTTGTTTGGAAAAGGAAAATCAAGAGAAATGCTTGTTAATGTTAGTTCATGCTTTACAATCCTATGTGGATAATTTATCTAATGAAAAGCCCAACTTTGATGTGGGAAAAGACTATCTTTTTTCAAAGTATCAATTAGTTGTTTCTTCCATGCTTATGGCCAACCTTCCTCCACATTTCCCCAGTAAGAAATTACAAGCTTTTTGGTAAAAAGAAGTTTTTTGCATAACTGGGTTCTATTATTTGATTATTAGCTGATAATTTCATTGATTTTGTTAGAGGTGCTTCACTTTTATTTTAAGGGAAGGCTGGAGGAGTTAAATATCGTAATAGATGGAGAATGGAACGAGGAAAATGAGCGACCAGATAGAGATAAGATGCATTTGGATGAAAAGAGTAAATATAGAACTGGTGAAATGGATATTGACGAGTGCTATTCCCAAGACAAGTTTTCTGAGAACAATAAGTTGGTGAAGAACATTGGGAAGGTTGTTTGCGATCTTCGAAATCTTGGGTTCACATCCATGACTGAAGATGCCTATGCTTCTGCTATCTTCATGCTTCTGAAGGTGGGCTTGTTATTTATTTTAAAATATGTATGCACAGCTTATCTCATTGAGCTCAACGTAGTTATCTGATCTTTTGCTATTCAAATTTGTATCACTCTTTTTCTAATGATTCTCTTTAAGAAAATCTTATGTTATGTCATGCTTCAAGCTTTATAAATTTACATTATTTGAAACAGTATTCTTTCCTTATTTGCATACAGGCTAAAGTACATGATCTGGCAGGTGATGATTACCGGAGTTCTGTTTTGGATTCCATTAAGGGTTGGATACAGGTTGTTTTTGGTGTTTGTGAATCCTTTACGTTTTCCCTTTTCATTGAAAACAACTGTAAGAAATCATGGATGACTTGTTAATCTTGCTAGTAATTTTGGTCTAATATAAAAGTATTTTTTAAGATTTCATGTTGTTTCCGGTTTTATTAACTTGCTATTATGTTCTCCTATGGTTAAGTTACTGAGAGATTATTCCTTACATTTGGAGAATATTGCACAGGTCGTTCCTCTGCAATTCTTGAATGCATTGCTTGCCTATCTTGGTGATTCTATTAGTTTTGTCCAACATTCACCTGGTACCGAATCACCTCTGGCTTCACAACCATCTTCAGGCTATTTTGGAACAAGTACTCCATCATCAGGACTCATTAGATGGAAATTGCGGCTAGAGTATTTTGCTTATGAAACATTGCAAGACTTAAGGATTGCCAAATTGTTTGAGATTATTGTCGACTATCCTGATAGGTATCACTTTATCTGTTCACTTCTCATTTTTCCTCCAGTTCAACACCCCCACCCCCAAAAAAATAAGGTGAATCTTGATGAGTTTTAATAGTTCTCTTTCCAAGAAAGTTATAGTTCTGACTTTTGAGGGCAGGGTGAGGTTATGACAGGGGCACAGTTACCCCTCGTTATGTAGCTCAAAATCCTTTTGCACGGAAGGGGTGAAAAAATATTTTGCATTGATTTGTGACATTCTTAAAAGAATCTCCCCCTAGAAGGGTTGTCCCCTCCCCCCCACCCTTTCTCGTCCCTCTGAATTTAGGGCGAAAGAAGACAGACGGAGTTATATATATCTTAAGGTACTGCCTCTGTTTTTTGTGTTCATTGCTTGAATGGATGTTGGTGATGCAATAGAAAATATTCGTGGAAATTCCTCACTGTTTAAATTATTCCGGACTAGACTATTACAGTTCTCCTGCAATTGAAGACTTGAAGCAGTGTCTAAAATATACTGGACAGCACTCTAAGCTGGTTGAATCTTTTCTTTCTGCACTAAGATACCCGCTTACTTACTGCGGGTGCCTCAACCAATGACATATTACATCAATATGTTTCAACAATCAAGGTACTCCGGACCATAGACCCAGCTGGTGTTTTTCTTGAAGCTGTTGGTGAACCAATAAGGGACTACTTGAGGGGAAGAAAAGACACCATAAAGTGCATTGTGACCATGCTTACAGATGGCACTAGTGGTAATCCAAATGGATCTGGAGACAGTGGGGTTAGCCTTCTTGAGGAATTAAATAGAGATGTGGAGGGTAGGAAGCGGACAACTTCTGGTGTGAAGAATGTGTGGGAGATGCATATTTCGACTAACGATTCAGAATGGGTTAAACGTTCATTAACAGGTATAATGAAATCATCTTATGAGTACGAGTCGTTAAAAGAAGCTTGGGAGTTGGAGGGATTGAGAGTTCAGGTGTTGCGTTGGGGATATGCTTGGAAGGCTTGTATCATCACATTTGCCTCGGTTGAAGAATTCTCTTATGTTTGGGAGAATAAGATGGAAGAGCTGTCCTCGTGTTTCGATTGGTTAGCTCCGGTATTAAATGAGAATGGAATACCTTTGTCGTTGTGCCAGTTAGAATTGTGTGGTTTGCCTTTACTGTGCTGGAATGAGGCTTTCCTGGAGAAACTTACAGGGAAATGGGGAAGGTTCATTTGTTTCAAGGATGAATCAAAACATAGATATGATCTCTCGTTTGCAAAGGTTTTGCTTAGGGTGAAGAGTCCATTCGATGTTCCTGATTTAGTTACAGTAGGCTCTTATGGTAGATCTTTCAAAGTTAAGATTTCCATGGGGTCTGTGTTGATTCAGTCGAAGGAGTAGGGGAGAAAGATGGATGAGAAAATTTCAAATAAGTTGAACAGTGATTATGTCTTTTCTGAGGCAGGGGATGATTGTGTTCCTGCTATGGCAGTTGACAGAGAAGAGCCAGTAGAGTTTTCTAGGCAGAAAGTTATCTCATGGTTGAATAAGGGCCATAACAGTGATATGAATGGAGTTAGTGGGGGACAGGCTGCATCAAGGAAGTCAAATGCAGAAAACTCTAATTGTGGGCTTTCAGGTTCTGTGGAAAGTAGGTCAATCCAAGTGGGAGGTCACGTGGGGCTAGGTCTGTAACACCCCCAACCCGTATCCGACCCGGATACGAGTCCGAAGTGTCATATTGACTTTTCAAACATTTATTCGTATAAAATAGTGAGTAATTCAAAAACTTTGATAACATTTAACTTATTCAAAACGTTTACAAAATATATCAAAGTTCATACAATTTATATCTTTAGATTACATGCCAACTTCACTCTATATACAGTACATATATTTTCTGATCTGACATTTGGTAAGGAGAACTGACCTGTCTTGCTCCGCATTACTCTTTACTCTTCTTGAAACTTACGTGTGAAACAATCACACGCTAAGTCGAAGACTTAGTGAGGCACAAAGAAAACACATCTAATGGAATTCATACCCACTAATCATGCATGACTGTTTTATGCTATCAAATTATACAACTCATTTACATATACATCAACATATATTCATGCATATTATGTAACAGATACCATTACCCCTATCACAGATATATCATATCATGCACACATCATATCACAAATCATATACATATACATATATCACATACATTGTTCTCATATCACCAATATCCATACCTGTAAGCATATTACTTTAACATTCATGAATTTGTATTAATGAGTTTATTGGCCCATGATATCATATTGAGAACCTAAGGTATCTGAGTATTGTGAGGTTGTGCACTATGCTGTCACCACAGCTCGTATAAATGCACCGAAGTGCCGCGTAGAATTGCACCGTAGTGCCATATAATGATGTCCATAAGGACCACATAGAATTCCTTAAGAATCATATACATATGCTAGGGATCATATATGTGTCTCACCAGACTTCACACATGTTCCAAAGAATATATATATATCTCGAAGGACTGCGTAGAATATTGTCCCGAAGGACCGCGTAGACCCTCTACTCTTGGCATGCCAACTATACCCCTAGCTCTCAAGACACATAACATGGGCATTTTCTTTTATACTTATCATTTCACATAACACATAGTTCAATTACTCATAGAATATTTTCATATGAGTCACATTTACATGTCACATAGCTTATATACTTTCTCACATAGTTACGTAGATCCATATCATATAACATATATCACAAAGTGCACATAATCACACATATCATATCATATAGCTTAGATCATTTCTCAGATATTCATATAAACATACATATCATATCTTGTTCACATATGATCATATATGCTTCATATAACACATAGAACACTTTCTCCTAGCTTATATCAATTTTCAGAGTCCTTTCATATTACCTGATGACATATATCATATAGATATATAATAACGGATATCATATTATCTACCTTATGCTCTATTTCTTTGTATTCCCTTAGATTATAAATTATGCCGTATTTCTAAACATATATCATTTAATAGTATTTTTATTTAGGTACTAATTTAATCTTTTTACTTAATTCAATTTCGTATATTCATTATAATCTTTTCATATAGCTCCATTATACTAATTCTCATAATAAATCATACCACTAGGTATTTGTCCAACTCATGTTTTCATTAGGCATATACTGTTACCCATGTTTACTTAGTTCATATCACTTCTTATAAACTCACTTTCATCATATTTTCCTATTATTACATATTTTATCTCATAATCATGTATCCACATAGTCTTATATTTCATTATCATATTACATATATTTGTTCTCCTATGACCCTTAATAAACATCTATTTTTATTTCCCTACATCTCTCGACTTATCTTCTATATTCCTATAATTTCATAACTTATTTTATATCATTTTCCCTTTTTATTCACATAAACCATCTATTTATTTAGTTCAATTTCTCATGACTTCCACAATACTCTTTAATAAAACTTTGTAGCTCTTCACTATAATACATAAACCATAGTTTCCTTTAATTTATCAATCTTCTCTATATAACTTATGTATCCTTATTTATGCCCTCGAATTCATACTATTCTCTTAGAGTCTCCTAACATTTCTCGTATAATCACTTATACCATATCATATAACTTATACTTGATTATCTTATTCTCTCATGTTTATTTCATTTCTTATGACTCTATCATATAACTTATCTCATGTTCTTCCATTATTACATATTAAAGTCTTACATACATATAACATATACAAAGCATATCATTATCTTTAGTCATGCATACATACAATCAATGTAATACAGATAATCACATATAATTATAACCACACATAATCATGTCCATGACTTCATGCATATTACTCTAGGAAATAGACTCATCGTAAGTCTTATTTCCATTAAACACTACATATCACTAGTATGCACTCACCTGGTCTCACTAGTCAATTTCAATCTCTTATTTTTCCCTTGATCGATCTTACTTGCCAAATGTTCCGGACTTGCTTTATGCGCAGAATCTACATAAATGAACATTTTGAGGTAATCATTAGATACCTACACCTTGTAGTTGGATACTAGCAACTTAAACGAATTTATTAAACCAATATTCACATTTTTCCTTTAGGGGGAATCGGTTCCCTACTATGGGGGTATCGATTCCCTCATGACATTCTGGAAATGTTGTTCGTTTGAAGGGGTATCGGTTCCCCTTGAATGGGTACCGATTCCCCTGGCCCAGAAATCATATTTTTAAATCGAAAATTACTTCATTTCCTCTCAAACACTTCATAAATCATCCCCTTTTCATTCTTAACTCTAGTACACATACTTAAACCAATCTATATTCATTTATTTCATCTTAAACCTCAAAATCCTATCTTCCATATGAGATTCAAGAATCATACCAAATTTTCAATGTGTTCTAATTCCAATTCTAACATTTCATACTTCTTAATTAGATTGATGACAAGTCAAATTCATCCATAAAACTTCAACAACCATACCATATCAAAATTTCATCTTAAAACTCATATTGCAAATTCCTTCTTAATTCCTTTATCTTATTGTTTAAATCCCATATAAGCTTTCCTTAAGCTTATTTAATACCCAAAGAATCAAAACTAAGCTTAAAACTCAAGAATTAACCAACTGAAATTAAACTTACCTATTGTAGCTAAGCCCCACGTGAAGAAGAGAAAGCAAGAAGAAGAAAGCTTCCAGATAGCTCTCTTTCCACGTTTTTCACTCTTATAAAAGGGGGAAGAATATCTTTTAAAGGAAAAGACCATAATACCCTTAATTTCCTTTAATAATTACTAAATAACCTTCATAATATATTCAAATAATCATTGAATTATTTCATTCTTCTACTTTAGTCATCAAATTCTGAAACTTTACAATTTGATCACTAACCCGGTATTGCGGATGTTACAAGGTCTGAGAGAAAATATTTTAGAGGAGGCCAAATCTGATGACAACAAGGTTGCCTTATCCAATATTAAGAAAATTAGACTTTCTGGGACTGCTTATAATATAAAATGGATTGGAGATAAATTCATTCTACAGCCCAATTTCAGTTCAGCTAATTCTATGAATTCTAAAGAAGATGTTGAGCCTAGACGAGTAACAATAATTTCAAGGGGAAAGGGAACTGGCGCAAGGGGATCAGAGTGTTGACTTGGTTGTAGAGCAGTCTGGTGGGCAGAGGAGTATGCAGGAGGATATTATTTTAGGTCCTAATAGGCAAAATATTTTTCGAAGGGATAATGTATCAAGTGACCAAGAGGTTGTTTCAAAGAAGAGGAAGGAGGTTTTGGAGGATTACCAGGGCAGTCTTAAGGAGGGTAGTGTTTCTAATTTGAGTGTCAGAGAACGAATGTCGGTCTTAAGAGATGGAACTAGTTCAGGAACGATGGTGGTTGACAGGAATTTAATTAAGGAAAGTAGTTTGGATTCTTCAAAATATTCTATTCAGGAATTTTCTCGGGCAAAAAATTCAATGAATCGGAGAAGGTTAAGAATGGCTCCATGTCATTCGGGTAGTGTGTGTTCGGAGGGTGAAGTGGAGGTAAGCTTTTATGATAGAGTTTATAGGAGGGTGATTAATAGTATGGTCAGGGAATCCTTGGAACATGTCAGGGAGGACTCTCAGCCTTCTCAAGAGTATGTTAAAGCCAGAGCCGAAGCTATAGCTACTAGGGAAGTATGTGAAATGCTGGGAATTTCTTTTAAAGGGGGGCATCAGATGATAGAAGAAGAGATTTTCAGGTTGGAGTTGTTGGGGTCTGGAAAGGGTTCCAGATTATAGTTTGAGGAGCGATTTTGGGGTTGTATGCTATTAAATCAAATGTCAAGAGTAAAAATTATCACATGGAATATTAGGGGGTTGGAGAAAACTGAAAAAATCAGAGCAGTGTCAAGATTGGTTTATAGAGAAAAGCCAATCATTTTGTTACTACAGGAAACAAAACTGAATGTGTGCAGAAGTGGATTAATGAGAAAGCTTGGGGGTAATCTGCTCAGAGGTAGTTGTGTTGTTCCAGCTGATAGTTATGCAGATGGTTTGATGTGTTTGTGGAATGAGAACCTTTTTGAGGTCAGGGATCAACATAACCACAGTATGTTTATGGCACTATCAGGGAGGTTCAAGATGAGCAATTTTGAATGCGTCATTATTAACGTGTATGGTCCATCAGTAGAGGCGGAAAAAGAGGAATTTTTCAGGGATTTTCTGTGTTTTGTGCAAAGTTTGAATATGCCAGTTTGCATGGGGGATTTCAATGCTTATTTGGTTCCTGAGGAGTAATGTGGATTCACACAAAATTGGCATTCGATGGAGTTGTTTAGGTCTTTTATTCAGTTATATAATTTGATGGATCAACTGTTAGTAGGGGGAGATACACATGGTGTAACAATAGAGAGGCATCTACTTGGGTAAGGCTTGATAGATTTTTGATAAGTGGTTTATTTTTACATCAATTCCCTAATGTGATCCAAAAAATGCTTCCCAAATCCTTATTGGATCACAATCCAGTTCTGCTCGTAGAAGAATGTAATAATTGGGGTCCTAAGCCGTTTAGGTTTTACAATTACTTGCTGGAGGAAGATGGGTTTGTTGGGGTGGTGGAAAAATCAGTTTCAAATCCGAGGAAGGTTAATGGTGGTAGGGGTTTGTTTTCACTTCTTAGAGGTACTAAACAGGTCATTAGGAATTGGCCAAGGAGTAATTACAGGGGACTCTCTGATGATATTTCAGAATTAGAAGCAAGAATTAATGGACTGGAATTGAAGATACAGGGAGGGGGGATTTCTTCCCAAGAAAGGGAACTGCTTGTTTTTTCGAGGAAGGAACTGTGGAATTTGCATAGGAAGGAGGAGAGGATTTGGTTACAAAGGTCTAGAGTGAAATGGAGTATTGAGGGGGATAAAAACACAGTTATTTCATCTGTCTGCACTGAATAGGAATAGAATTAACACCATTTCATCATTGGAGGTAGCAGAGGACGTTATTTCAGACCCGGAACAGTTGAGAGGCTTCGTTTTTGAGTATTTTAAGGATAACTATAATTCGAAATCTACCTTACAGGTGGATGGAATGGACTTGAATTTTGCTAAACTGACGGATGAGCAAAAAAAACATTCTTGAAGTTAAAATCTCAGAACAGGAAGTGTGGGAGACGGTTTTTCAATCGGATAGTGCCAAAGCACCGTGGCCAGATGGTTTCACCATGGGTTTCTTTAAGAAATTCTGGTCAACTTTGAAGTCTTATATTATGAAATTTGTTGAAGATTTTTATAACGGAAGGAATTGGGAGCATGGGGTCAATCATGCATTTCTTACATTGATTCCCAATATCAGAAATCCTGAAGGTATCGAAGACTATAGACCAATAAGCTTAGTCGACAGTTTGTATAAAATAATTTCTAAAATCCTATCGAGAAGGCTTGTGTCTGCTATTAAAGATTTAGTTAGTTCATCACAGTTTGCCTTCATTCCTGAAAGACAGCTGTTGGATTGTGCCTTTTTGGCTAACGAAGTTATTGACTACTGGAGGAAAAAGGGAGAAAAGGGGTGGTCTTCAAAGTGGATTTTCGAAGAGCCTATGATTCAGTGGAATGGCCGATCTTGTTGAGACTTCTGAGAACTATGGGTTTTGGAGATAGGTGGATTTCATGGATAGATTTTTGCTTTTCCTCAGCCTCTATCTCAGTTCTAGTCAATGGTTCTCCGACTAATGAATTTAAGTTGGGGAAAGGGTTGAGACAAGGTTGCAGTTTATCTCCTTTGTTGTTTAATATTGTTGGGGAATTACTGAATTTAATGTTGATTAAGGTTGCAGATTGTGCCCTGTTCGAAGGGTTCAGTGTTGGCAGGGAGGATAATTTGTTTCATTTGACGCACTTGCAGTTCGCAGATGATTTAATTCTATTCTGCAGAGACTCATCTACTTAGATTATGAACATTAGGTGAGTATTGAGGATTTTCAGTTTAATGACAGGCCTCCATCTTAATTTGTCCAAGAGTAAGTTGTTCGGTGTAAATTTAGATGATGATGTTCTAAAGGAATGGGCTCAAAGTGCAGGATGTGGTGTGGGGGCTTTTCCTATGACATACCTTAGGCTACCGATTGGAACTACCAGAAATTCAGAATTGTTGTGGGAACCAGTACTGCAGAAGTTCAACAACAAATTAGCAGGCTGGAAAGCTACTTCATTATCGATGGTAGGGAGATTAGTGTTGGTGAAGTCTGTTTTGTCGTCCTTGCTTATTTTTTACCTTTCGATTTTCAAAATTCCCTTAAAGATAAATCAGAAGTTGAATTCTTTGATGGCTAATTTTCTGTGGGGGGATAGTCCCATGAAGAAACGGATTCATTGGGTAAATTGGAAAATGGTGTGTCAACCGTACGAGGAGGGAGGCTTGGGAGTTTTGGACTTGTCTTTGGCTTATAGAGCGTTACTTGGGAAGTGGGTTCGGAAGTTTGCGAATGAGAAAGATTCACAGTGGAAGAAGATGATTTGTTGCAAGCACAATATTAGTAACTTGTCTCTATCAATTAATAAAGCTACAAATCCTCAAGATTCATGGATATGGAGAGGAATTCGGAATAATTATGAGAAGAAGGATGATATAGGGAATTGTTTGAGGTCAAATTCAAAGATTCAAGTGGGGAATGGTAGATCAATTGAATTCTGGAATGATGTTTGGGTTAATAATTCTACTTTAAAAGAACAATTCCCTAGGATTTATGCCTTATCGATAAATAAAAGGGGATTAGTTGAGGACTTTGGTTGTTATGAAAACAATTGTTGGGTTTGGAATATCCGATTAAGGAGGAATTTATGTGACTGGGAATTGGAGCAATGGATTTCTCTAATGACTTTGATCGATAATATTGTTTTGATTGATTCAGTTGAAGATTTTTTATCTTGGTCAGGGAATGAAGATGGTTTGTTCTCAGTGAAGGCTTGTAGATCAGTACTTACACGTAGGTCTGGTGGGATTTTTCAGTGGAATAAATGGGTTTGGACGGGATTGGCTCCTCTGAAAGTTGAAACGTTTTTATGGCAACTATCTCATAAAAAATTAGCTGTTAGAGTGGAGTTGCAGAAAAGAGGTGTTTCCATGGAAGATTTATTATGTCCTCTATACAAAAAGGAGGAAGAAACAATTCAACATCTATTCATTCTATGTCCGGTTGCCTGGGAGTTATGGAACAGGTTCATATTGATATGGGATGTGTCTACTGTTCTGCCTAAAGATCCTATGTCTTTACTCTGGTCCTGGTCTGTTTTAATGGATTCTTCTTCTATTTGGAAATTTATCCCGGGTGTTGTTTTGTGGTCACTATGGAAGGCTAGGAATTTAGTGGTTTTCGAGAATTGGAACTTTGAGAGCTCTACATTGTTCTTCATATGCAGATTCAGGCTGGCAAAATGGTTTTTAGCCAAATTTCCTAAGGCTAATATCCAGGTTGATTTATTAGTTGGGGATCCTCGGCTTGCAGACAGTCTAGTTGTTTTATCTCACAAGAGGAAGATCGATCAGTGATGGTTTCCACCTCCTCCAGATTTTTATAAATTCAATGTGGATGGGACGGTTAGAGGTGATGGCTTGCAGGGTGGTATTGGAGGTGTATTGAAAGATTCGAATGGCTCTATCTT